CATTTTAAGACTGAATCTAATTTTTGAAAACTCTTGAGATGTTTCACTCTCCCCACATACAGATCAAATATTTTAAAAGCAAAAATAAAATAAAATAAATAAAAATTCTGGGATATGCTTTTAAGAAAAATAAGTAGCTTCAAATTTTCTTCACTCAATTATTCATGAATTAAGAATCAAACACATGCTAAGCATATGCACTAGGTCATGGAGATAGAAAGTTAAAGTGATAAGACAGGGAAGTTACCTCCTAATAAGAATTAAGTTCTCTTGGTAGCTCAAAGGTGGATCCAGGGAACAGTTCTGCCCAGAGCAACTGGAGTAGCCTTCATATAGAACAAAACAACTATTTTTATTTTTAATATTTAGTCAGACAGATCCTGGAAAGAGGGCTTGGTTATGTGGGCACAACATTTAGCACAAAGAAAGGCGAGAAGCCACAAAAGTCCACGGTATGGTGGAGATGTGGGTGCCACTTTTGCAGGGATCCAATATGCATGTGCGTTGTCCTAGTACTGATCAGGAAGAATGAGCCACGCTTTATGTTGCCTGAAAACAAAATCTTACTTTTTCTTTAATGTACATTTTTTAAAGTTTTCTCTTTAAAATTTCGAAATGTACTCACTTCCCTCATCTTCTTTCACATCAAAAAGATGAAAGAGAACCTACCAATATATTTCTTTCTTTCTTTTTTCTTTTTTTCTTTTTTGCTCTTCCCAACCTGTACTTTAAAGGTCTTTGAAACACTTTTATGAAATAGAGAATAGTTTATACTTTATTTAATATATCCTAGAGATCATTTTAATAATCTCTTTAATAATTTTTTTTCTGAAGATTCAAAGTGTTAATACTAGTCAAATATTTTAAGTGTTAAATATTCAGTTAGAGATAGCCTATTAGAAAAGCTTTAGTTTAGGTTTCTTTCTCTTTTTTTGGTTCTAATTTATATTTGGCCTTTAATATGGTCGGCTATTTAATTTTTATACAAGAAAAACTCCTATAGTGTTTAGAGACTTGTTCTGTCAATCCTGACGGAAAGGTAGACACTAGGGCTGGGGTTGTGGCTCAGCGGTAGAGAGCGCTTCGATCCTCAGCATCACATAAAAATAAATAAGTAAATAAATAGAATAAAGCTTTTTTTAAAAAAAATAAAAGAAAGAAAGAAAGGTAGACACTAACAAGACTAAGAACAGAGAAATGACAGTTAAAATTTGGGAACTGACATTCACTTGGATCACATGAATTTTTAAAATATGTATTCTTGGAATTTAACTACTTTATAGTGAAAATCTCTTATAAAATAGTTAGTTTTTAAGGTTCATTTTAGCCTTATAATACCAGTAATATAAATAATTCCACTTGCCCACCAAACACAAATCAAAGAATCTCAAGTGATAAGTTTTCTAACTCCTTAAATACTTCCTCAAGACTAGTTTTGAATTAATTTTACAGTGAACTAAGTATAGCATGCACATTTCGGTTACCATATTTCAGAAAGTGGGTTGCAGAAGTAGGAATTAAACTTAGGCCCTTTTTACTCACACCTTTAAATTAAAAAAATGTAAAGAGTCAGAGGGCAGACGGGTTTAGCAAAGCCAGCATTGGGTTCTCCTTCAGTCACTTCCTATTGTTACACAAAGGAGGGCAATTCCAATTACTTCTTTGGAGGAAACACTGGGGAAAAACCTAAGAATATTTATTTACTAAAAACAAAATCATCAGACTTAAAGAAGAAAAATATTGTAGCCATGGTATATGGTGACAATTCACTTCAAAATTCGTACTCCGAAAGAAGGATATTGAACAGAATTACAATCCTTCATGCTTCTGTCTTGCCTTGACTTGTTCCACATGATTTCCTTCTTGTGTTATTTTTAGCTGACAGTTAATAATGCAGATTCCCCAGCTAGGCAAATTCAAATTTAATCTAAAAAGGACAGGCTTTAAAATAAACAAGTTATCTAAATATGTACTTGGTAAAAAAAAAAAAAAAAGTGGGGGGAGTGGGTGGGAGGGTTCCTCTATGGGAGAACTTCTGGATCTTTGGTTAAGAATTTAATTTATTTTTAAACAAACACATTGAATTTCTGTAGAGGAGATTTGCCATTAAGTTTCAGAAATCAGTTACAGTTTATGCCATTGATTCATGAATCATTCAAAGTAGTAAGCCAGAGTTACCAATGTATAACAGCCAGTGCTGGAATCTCAGAGGAAATAGAACTGCAGCTTGTTTATCTTGGAGAGCATTCTTGTCATAATTTTTACTGTGCACATATATTTTGTGGGCATTTTTGTCTGTTTTTCCTATTCTCAGGTAGAATAAACCCAAAAAAGGGGAAAAAAAAAGGATACTACTCCCTTGTCCTGGTAAAGTTATTAAAGGATTTAAGTCCCCTCCATCTGGAGGTGCAGACACTCTTTCCTCCAGGACAGGGGACTGAGGGAATATATGATGTGTTCCGTGTGCAGAAGGGAAGAAAATCATTCCCCGTAATGTTCCACCACCATTCACTGAGTGCCTCAAAGCAGCATTTTCTTTTCTAGTCAATTATGAATGTGGCTGTTCTCACTTGCTTAAAAAGATGCTGCCCACCTCAATAGTACCAGAGCTGTGGAAATGCCCATGCCACTAAACATGCTAACAAATCCTTTTTCTAGGTCCAGTTCCAGGATGGGCGTCTGAAAAACTCTGAAAGTGGAAAATGATAGCTATCCCTTGGATGATGCCCTAATAGATCTGAGAGTCTGGTTTCTGTGATAGTTTGGGGAAAGGGAGAAAAGACTGCAAAGTTATTTAAATTGCTTTACATTTCTGAACCTCTGTGTGTCTTCCCACACTTGAGAGGGAGGAAAGCCCAGATGAAGATAAGAAAAACTAAATTCTCATTCAAAAACAAAAAGGTGGAATATCCCAGTGTTATTGTTTGGAGATGAGGTGTTCCTCCAATGCACCTGTGTTAATTCTCCTAATCAGATTAGGAGAATTGTAATCTAATGGGTCCACCCTAGTTTGAATAGGTGGCAACTGTAGGAGGGGGTGGGGGAGGGAAATGGCTAGAGGATATGGGTTATTTGGGGACATGCCCTGGAAGGACTCACTTTCCCTGCAGTTTCTTCCCCTTTCTCTGCTTCCTGGTACCATGAAGGAGCAATACCCTTCCATCATGCCTTCTGCCACAGTGTTCTGCCTCACCCTGAGCCTAGAGCAATGAATTTGGCCTACCATGGACTAAACCTCTGAAACCATGAGCCAAGATAAACTTTCCGGCCTCTAAGTTGTCACTGTTAGGCATTTTGGTCACAGCAACAAAAACCTAACACACCCAGCATGGGAATGGGTTAAGGAATGTATAAACACTCTAAGGAAAAAAAAATCCATACTGGCTTAATTGTCTGAGGACTGAGGTTGGAATCCTGATAAAGCATTAGGATGGTTATTGAATCTTTCCTGACTCTGTAAAATGGATATATACCAATGTCTCCATAAGAACATTAGAGGTCTAAGTGAAATAATAGGGGTGAATGTACTTTATAAAGCGCCATTTGAAATGTCATTATAGAGTACACCCCTCATCTCACATTACGTGTATGTGAACAGCTCATGTAGACACTAGCCTCAAATCTACAATCTGGTGTTCAGGTAAATTAGTTTAATTCCTAAGCAATTCCTTGGATTAGCTTTCATCTTTCTCAGAAAAATTTTGTTTACGCCAAATTATACATTAGATGTTAATTTCTTTAAATTCCTGGAAAGACTTTTTAAAAACTTCAGTATTATAGCAATACCTACTATGTGCAAGACTGTATTCCAGGAGCTTATAAAAAATTATAAATCACTTTTAAATTGCTCATCTTTTCTCAAAACCTTAATTTTTTAAAATCTGAGAATAATATATTTTAAAAGGCTTTCTTTGCGGGGTTGTGGGGATATATCATTGAAGCAAAATCTAGAAAAAAAACTTTGTTACAATTTTTTCTTTGACTAGATTTTTCCAATTTTTTCTTTTTTCTTTTTTTTTTTTTAGCATTTCTACTGCAAGTGTTTTGTACTTTGGGGACCTAATTTATAAATGCATTATTTTCTTTGTTTCTATACTTACTTATAGAGGTAGAATCAATACAGAATTTATTTATTGCAAGCTGTGTTACGTTCCAACAAGACTTAATTCCTATATGGATTTCTCTTTGTCACTAGATGTATTTTTTTATTTTCAAAAAGTGTCCCACACAAAACAAAGAATACTTCACAATACTCCCAAGGGGCCATACCATTTTTCAATTTTAAAGAAAATCTTTCGTTTTTCTTTTATTCCAAGTGTTCTTAAACTTAAAAATTTTCCCATTCCATAAAAATAAGGACTTGCCCTCTGTATAAAACCAACTGAAACCATCTCCCCGCTCTCCTCCAGTGTTCATGATCTGGAAGAGATCAACAAACCTTCATCTCACCCCCATCTGCTAACTTTGAATTTTTTAAAGCAGATTCTGCTATGGAAACATTGTGGCACCATTGGGTGACTATTCTCTAGGAAAGATTAAAAAAAATTTTTTTGTTCACAAAGAAAATAGTATGAGCTATAGTAACTAGAACATGTGATTCAAATATGACATAGCAGTAAGGATGATGGGGCTCTAGAGTCAGCCAGTCAGTCCTGGCTCTAATATGAGCTAGTTGTGGGACCCCAGACAAGTCCATGAACCCCACTGTGTTTTAGTTTCCCTCTTTGCAAAAATAAAAGTAATTGTACTACCTTCCTTACGAGAATTTTCAAGGATTAAGTGAGCAATGCGGGTAAACTCATAAAAAAAGTTATATCTAGTAAGAACTCACTAAGTATTAGCTGTTAATAGCATGGAGACCAGCTTTCTCAGATATTCCAATTTCATTATTGATCTTCTCACTGACTGGTAATTGATTGCATTATACTTTTAAAACAGGTTTTGAAACTTGGGTATAGTTTATCCAGTAAGTAATGTACTGCTACTTTTTTTCCCCCCAGAGTGATTAGGAAATTCTGTATAACATCATGGCCAACAGCAGTTGTGTTTGCATATTACCAAGAAGCAAATATCAACAAGGATATGTATCTCGCAAATATCTCCATAGCTGTGTCTCCTCTGAAGGCATGGGAAGAAAGGCAGGATTGAAGAAAGCAGCCTACTTACTTGATATGGATGGAGCTTATGGACCCAGAGCCAAAGCCTTTGTAAATCTTCAAACTCAGTTTCATCTCCCAAACCTTCCCTTCATGCAGTGAGTTTCTGCTGTTAGGTTTTGTGTTAATAGGCTTACCTGCTCCTACTGGGATTATTTGTCTACAATATACCACAATTGCTCAACTGTGGTACTTCTGACATTTTGGTTTGGGTAATTCTTTGTTGTAGGCGACTATCCTGTGCATTGTATGATGTTTAGCAGCAACCCTGGCTCCTACCCACTGTATGTGCCAGTGGCACCCAGTTTATGAAAACCAAAAATGTTTCCATATTTTCTGCTAATGTAGGATGAGTGGCAACATCACCCTGAGCTGAGAACCACTGCTCTAGAAAACCTGATTCAAAATTGAGCATTCCATGCGCCAGCTTTTCTTTCTTTCTTTTTTTTTTCTTCTTCTTCTTCTTCTTTTTTTTTTTTTTGGTACTGGGGATTGACCTCAGAGTCACTCAACCACTGAGCCACATTCCCAACCCTATTTCATGTTTTATTTAGAAACAGGGTCTTACTGAGTTGCTAAGCACCTTGCCGTTGTCGAGGCTGTCTTGAACTCATGATCCTCCTGACTCAGCCTCCTGAGCTGCTGGGATTACAGGTATGCGCCGCTGCGCCTGGCCAGTTTTGTTTAAGATTATGATTCACATTATGTTTCATTAAAACAATAGGCTGTCAATCAGTTGAGTCAAATAAAAAAGCCATTTTCATTCCCTAATTACTTTTTTATTGGCCCACCTTTAATTTTGGACATTTATTTTTTATATCTTCACTAACATCTACATATGCACATGCATTCAAAGGGCCTACATTGGCTATTTTGCTGGCACTTGCTGCAGCATTTCCTATAGGTCCCTCTGCCTTAACCTGGACCTGAAACTACCTCCTGGAATGAGGGCTCCATCCAAGTTGTTGAAACGATGTCTCTAAAATCTGAATATGATCTCATCTCCATTCTTTCTTAAATCCTTTAGTAGTTACCTCTTGCCTTCAATATGAATTCCAAACATTCTATCCTGGCCTACAAACATGCATGATCTTTGTTGATTATTAAATACAGGTCCCCAAATGCACATAATGTTCTAACTTTCCTTGCTTTTGCATGTCCACCAGCAATGTCAGCAATGCTCTGTGAGTTTATAATCACTTAGATGAACCATATGCTCCTTCAACCGTCCATTTAGTTGTGCTTTGCTCTCGAAAGTCTCCCTCACCTCCTTAGGTAGCATTGAAGAACTTTCCCCATTCTGTTGACTGTAGAAAGTACTTGTCACAGTCTGTTATAATTGTTTGTGTTTCTCTTTCAGTCTGTTAAGATATAGGCTAAACCTATTCACTTTGTAGATCCACTATCAAATACGGACTGGTGGGACTGAGGTTGTAGCTCAGTGGTAGAGTGTTTGCCTGGAATGTGTGAAGCCCTGGACTCAATTCTCAATACCACATACGAATAAATAAAGGTCCATCAAAGACTAAAAACATATTTTAAAAAATATGGACTGGCTAACAGTATGTAACTGTTAGAGTCACAGTTACTACATAAAACTAAGTGAACTGAATTAAACAGAGAAATGAGTTTCCTCCTATCACATTATCCTATTTATCTCTTTCATGTCACAGTTATGGTAAATTGTATCCTTGCTTTTATTAATCTGTTTATTTACTCATTTGTTGTGTACTCAAACATTTACCACCAACCACTAGGATATAAGTGATACATTGCAAAGAACATTTTCTGTTGTCAAGTGGTGTTTACTCGCACCTATGGTGCTGGGAGGACAGTAAGAACTCAGAAACATTTGCTGAAGGAATAAATACAAAAGGTGAGTCAAGAAACAGAAGCTAGTTAATGAAACCAGGAATGAGTGATCACAGATACCGGAGGAAAAGTGAAAGAATATAATTCAAATATCAGAAATAAAATATTTTATTGATGTTTCATGTTTTATTTAAAAAATAAACACCCACACATTAAAAAAAACACAAAGATGATTAACCAAACCTATGTATAATAGAAAAGGCTTCTAGTTTTTTTTTTTTTCTTCTTTATTCCTGTTACCTATAGGAAACTGACTTGGCAGCTGCTGTTACAAATGAAAAGAAAAATTGTCATGCACAGGTTCATGTTCTCATGATTGATGGACATTTCCTTTTGAAAATATGCCTATTTATAATCACAAATAAAATTCCTGTTGTCTCATGAACAACAGACCATGAGTCTTATGGATCTGCCTCCCAAGAGTTAAATAACCTTCTAATTCCACTTGACAGTAAGGATAAAGCTACTGTTCTACTGTGATAGATAATCCTCTGCATGGGGTGGTGGGACTGGAGGAGCAACAAGGAGGCAGGGGAGAGGGGACATCCATCTTGCTAAGCAATTTATGAATTGAACCCTAAATCCTTAATGTACTAGATGGTGAGTCAGTGTGCTAATGCATACTTGATTGAATTTGGTTTAAAATGCTAAGTTAAAATGTGCAGGTGTCTTGAGCAGGTGCACCGTATTCTGCTAATAAACAGAAGACATTAAACCTGAGGCAAAGCTTATTTTGCTGCATTATAGAAATTTCACAGACCTATAGAAAGTACATGAAATATTGCTTTAGGGAGGGCTATTCATTCAGTATCTCTTCAAACCCTGTAAATCAAGAAAACAATGTGCTAGTTCAAATTTGTGCCATGAGGTATTTCTCTCTTAAACATTTAAAATGAAATATAATGATAATTCTCCCTCTATTAGAGTATCATTGTATTTATGTAAGTGGCTCGGCAAAATGCTGTGCTTTTTTGAAACTTCAAAAATATATAGATATATGGAAATCATATCATGCTGTATTTTTTTCTGAAACACTTATGAGCACAGTTGGAGTCCCAGTGTCATAATGAAAAATTGCTGTTAATTTTCAGCTTATGGATGTGAAGAGCTGGGAGCTCTGGCTGCACTGGGAATTAGCTTGTGCAAGCTACAGAAATCCATTATTTAGGGTGTGGTGATTCGAAGTAGCCTTCACATTCAAGAGAGAGAACTGACTGTCAAAAGAGTGTATTTCTTTGGTATGGTGACTGTCTATAGGAAATAATTTTGTACAAGAGGCATCTAAAGGAATTTGACATAGTTTCCATAATAGCTTCAAACTGGTTTGAACAAGATATCATTATATAACATTTTCATATAAAATGCTTTAGTTTGGATGTCTACCTTTATGGTGCTTATTAAAACATCACTAGAGGAGCAATAGCAAGTTTTATTAGGGACTGTACATCCTGAAGATAATTCATTGCTAGGTATTTGGTAATTCTTTGGTTCCAACAGTCCATGTTAAAATACACTGGATGTGTTCTATGTTGGATATTAATATGTCAGAATCAAGTCATATATTTTTGGTAAAATTGATTATAAAATGGTAGAGGATTCCCTTTTCATAATATAGAGGTGAGTTTCTTGTATACTGACATGACTGTCTTTCAGTGTGCCAAAGTGACACAATTAGATTGCAAAATAGTTGATCAGACGCATTCTGAACAGGGTTTTTAAGCAAGGCTTTATAATGTTCCTGACTTTATGCTTTTAAGATTGAAAAAAGATTCAAAAATTCATGTTGTTCTTTTCTTATGCTCCTGATATAGTCTCTAAATGAAAGACAACCTAGTCAGTTTAGTTAAAAAAAAAAGACATATTTCCCACATTTCCCAAAGAAATGCAGAACAAATGTCAAATTCTAAACCTTGGCAAATACTATAAAAACCTCAAATTTTATCATGAGTTAAAATAATTCCCTATGATCAATACAGTGAAATCACTTATAGGAAGAATCCACCTGTAAACAAGCTAAGTGCCAGAGAAACTCTTATCCTTAACCCGTACATGGGAGCTTCTCTCTTTCTACACTTACCTATTTCCACATTGAAGCTGTGAACACCTACTGATTTGGCTAGGAAATCTAAGCATTAATACAGGTGCTCAATTCATACAGGGGCATTTGGAGAGGCCAATAAAGACGATATTTTCATTGAGATGACAATTGTCTTAATCCAGAAGCATCAAGACTGCTTTAGGTTAAAAAAAAAAAAAAAGCAGGGGTAGAGGGAGTGGGGGGATATGACCTTAAAAACAAACCTCATTCCTTTAGGACTAGCACTAATCATAAATGGATTTTGAAATTTTTACCACTTAATCAATTATGCCAAAGCAGGATTCTTACATTTTGCTCCAAACTTCTGAAGAGCTTTCCTCACATCAGTGATTAATGATAAATTAAGTAGTCATAACCAATTGCCAAATTCGTGTCTTATTTTTAAGGCTGGGCATTATTGGGGTAAATCATTTGGGCTTTACGTAATCATCTTGGATTTGGGGAGGGGGCAAATGATTTCTTTTATCTGACCCAGTTTTTTTGTGTGTGTGTGTGCTAAATCTTAGAACTATTGTTTTCTTAGTTCACCAAATATGAATGAGAAGTAAGAAGCACTCTCTATCAAAGCCTTTTCATCTTGATGAATTCGGAACTTATTGAATATGTCAGAAGGTGCCAAGGGTCATAATTTTGCATGTGTTTGGATTTCTTTTGAGTTCCTTTGCTGCCTCCATTCATGCAGTACACTTTAGTGATTTAAAGTGGGATTAGCCTGGAGTGATTTTGCACTAAAAGAGTTACTGTCTTGTCGAAAGCCTGCTCATCCTTCCTCTATTTATTATTTTCCCAATAGAAAAACACCCAGTAAATGAGTAGCTTTTCTGTTTTACTTTTCACTGTGCTTTTAAGAACTGAACTTGCCATAAGGAAATCATTCAAAGTCCTTTGTTCATTAGTTTTTCATCTTTTTTCTGATAGTCTTACAACAGGTCATCTAGGGTCATCCACATTCAGAATCGTTGAGGACACTTCAATGCCATATTCCATCAGGGAACATTTGAGAGAGATTTAGAACCACTTTGTTTCTCAAACAGTATACAGTGAATTTTGGTACCCCAGAGCAGAATATGTGGCCTTTACTGAGCCATAAACAATCATTTACAAACTCCGAATCCATATGTAACTTCACTTTGGAACTCAGTCATTTTTTAAAGTTGCACATAACTTGACACCAACCTTACTTTGCTTAGTGTTATATTAAGGCAGTGATTCTTAAACTTACTGTGCATAG